TTCTATTTTTAACACTGTTTGTGACTTACGGAACTGATTCGCTTTTTATAAAAAACTTAAACAGGCATCTGGCATAAAGTAGGCATTCAACAAATGACAACAGTCATTTGCTTACTCATTCATTCATTCTACAAACACATATTGAGTGCTCACAATATGACAAGAACTATTGCTGGCCCTGGAGCTGAGGCTCTGTGGTTGGGCATGACTAGTGAGCATTTACTGATGGCATGGAAAGAACAAGGCATTGTGCTAATCACTTAGAATCATGATTTATTTTGATCATCAGACACACACACAACACGAGGAGGTAGGTACTATTTTTATGACCCATTTATGGAAGAGAAAACTGTTGGTGATGATGTTCAAACCCCTTGCCCAAGCACGTGGGGAAAAGTGTGGAGCCCACACATCCACCACCATCGTCAATAGCTAGTATTTTAATTTTCTACAATAAGGCCCTTAAAAAGGCTATTTTTACCTTTGTGATTGATTGAACCATGGCGGCCATACAGGAAAGAGCACAAATCATAAGCATAGAGCTTATTTCAGCTCCCCAGACATACCGGCAGGCATGGGGTGTGGGGAAGTGGGGCCAGGATGGGGAGATGGGTAGGGGCAAACTTCAGGGGCCCTCAAACGTCAGGGTGAAGATTGCGGGTTTCTTATGTGATGACAGGAGCAGACAGAATCCAGTCCATCTGAGATATCCCGGAGGCAGGAGTTCAGAAGGAGCGTGGGATGGAGAAGCCCAGGAAGAGGGAATGTGGTGGAGGCCACAGCCTCTAGGGAAGCAGAGGCTCCACACTCCCCACCTCCCACTGCCTTCACATAGGGCACAAAGGCACGGAGTTGGTAATGAGCAGAATTCTCTGTGGGTCGAGTCCTCAAGGCTTTCATCCTGTGGCCAGAGCCAAAGATTGAAATCTCTGATTCCTGTGATCCCAGCCAGCCCCAGAGCTCCTGGATCAAGGGGGTAATCAGAGCTTTGTCCTTGGCTCCAGACAGACCAAGAAGGAGAAGGTAAGTGGGTCCTTCTTGAAGGAGAAGGGCTCCAGGCTGTGAGGGGAAGAGGTCTGGGGCTCTGCCTGACTGTGTGATGCTGGGACAGCCAAAGTCCCTCTCCAGATAGTGATGCTAATCTGTAACAGTGTTTCATGGCATTATCGTTCTTTGATGGTGATGATGATGATGGTGATGATAATGATGGTGGTAATGGTGATGAAGCTGGTGGTGGTAGGAGTAGCGATGAGATGGTAGTGATGAATTTGACAAACACTGCAAACAGTTGTTGAATGCTTACATGGCTTGTACATGATCTCGATGAATTCTCACAACAGTCTTATATGGAATAGACACCATTATTATCACCAGTTTCTAGGCCAGGATACAGAGGCTCAGAGAGGCTTAGTAAGTCACACAGCTAGTAGATGGCAGAGCTTGAGTTTAAGTTTCCATCTGGTTGGCTTTAAAATGGGCTTTCTGAAACCTTTGGGGACGCTTGCTCTTTGCCAGGCCTTTCTCTTCCCACCAGGCCTGAGCCATAGGTATTATTACCTCCCATTTGCAGATGAAGGAATGGAGACCTCGTCAAGATTAAGCCCCTTGCCCAAGGTTGCGCAGCTTATGTGAGCTCTCACTCTGGGCTATTCTCACCCTGGTGTTTGGTGGGATAGTTAAGCTCTAACTCCATCCTCCCATATCAAGCATTCCACCATTAGTGCTGTTTGCATTAAACCTCTGTTTAGGGGAGTAACTTGAAAGCAGATGATTCCTTTCCTGTCCAGAGTTGAGCATCCTAGGTGAGTCCGGGGCTGCACAGAAGGTTCTGGGTCATTCTGCATCATATGCTCGAGTCATCCCTGACATGACCAGGGAAGCCCTTGAATATGAGACCAAGGGCATGGATGACCTCGTAGGAAACAACAGTTAGTTATTTTGGCCAAGGTTTGGACACTGGCTGACATGTTGCCCCTATGAGCTGTGGGATCCCGGGCAAGTTACTTAACCTTTCAAGTCTTGGTTCCCAGCACTGTTATATGGGGATGATAGTACCGAGGACTGCCGTGAGGATTCAGTGCATTAGCAACATGCTTGAAACAACACCTGGTACAAAATACGTCCTGTCTAAGTGCTTGGTGTGTATAATATTGAGTCCCTCTCTTTCCCTCCCTGGGCAAAAGTGCTAGCCCGAACATTTATCTGTGTCATTCCCAAGAGGGCAAAGAAAATGGCAGGGATTTCATAGGTGGAGAGTGTGGATACAATAAATGCTGACAGAGAGTGGAGTTGGGAAGGTTGATGGGGAGGCTGTAGCAATGGTCCAGGTGACCCACTGGTGGATCCTGAAATCAATTTATAACGGGTTTCTCAGCCTCGGTTGTGCTGGCATTGTGGGTAGAATCATTCTGTGTTGTTGGGGGGCTATCCTGTGCACTGCAGGATGTCAGCAGCGCCCCTGTCTTCTACCCAATACAAGAGGAAGAGAATTTCTTTAAAAATGTGTGAAGGTTGAGCTAAAACTGTCAGGCATTATTGATTTAAAAAAGAAAATCAAGAGTCCATATGCAGCAGGAAGAGGAACCAATGGCGCTGCCCCTCTCTTCCTCCAAGAGTTATTTGAACTTTCTAGAGATCTGAAAGATAACGCCCCCAGACAGGAATTTGATAAACCGCTGGGTCCTGGGTCAGTATAAACACACTGATACCGTTTATGAGCTGCCGTTGATTTTTCCCACCTGCTAGTGTTTTGTTACTTTTTGCAATGTTGTAAAACAATGTTTCTCAGCCTTATTTGCAGTTCAAACAAAAGAAGGTCCTGGTGTGCATTTCTTCTTAAATAAAAAGCAATTTCTATAGTGGTGTTTCTCAAATTTCTTTTGACAATGAGAACTAGGAAGAAAGACAGTTTACTTTCTGGATAAGCACAGACATAACTGAAATGAGAGTTTCATGAAACATTCTCAACCTTATTATACACCATGATCTCATTTTAAAAAAAACAAGTCTACTCATTAAAAGAATGCCGGTCACATCCTACTAAATTTATTTCATAGTGGATCATGATCCACAAGCCGCATTTTGGAAAGTACTGCTCTGCGGCACAGGAAGGATCTGTGCTCTTCGGACGTCAGGAAACTTAGGGAGAAAACACACCGAGAAGCAGCAATGCTCCCTGATGGGCAGCTTGTTCTTAGTTTAGTGAGTCAAGCTGGTGAAGCAAATTGTGACTAAAACTTGCTCCATAAGTGCGTCCTTGAACATGGGCAGGCCCAGCAAGGGTGGAGAGGGGAATGTGGATTTAAGGAACATGGGCTTTTGCCGCTCCACGTGGCTCTGAATCCAATCCTGCTGGTCAATTTCATAAAGAGTTGATGAAATCAGACTTGATAGTCAGTCTAATTTTGCAGTAAATGATGAATGTATTCTCTTAATAAAATTTAAAAGAGGTAAGTCTAACGTTCCCCTTGACTTTTACGTCCAATTGCAGTCCTCACCTGTAGGGTAACCTCCATCATTGGTTTGGTGAGTGTCCTTCTTTACATTTATATACATATATATGAGCCTGAAGAAAAATACACAGTATCTGTCTAGATGGCCATTTTTTCATAAGTTATGTCATACCATCCTTCTCACTCTACAACTTGCTTTTATTTTTTTGCATAGTACTTCCTGAATATCTTCCATTTCCTTGTATCTGGATTGCATTCCTTTTTGATGGTTGCATAATATTCCATGTGAATCTGCCATAATTCTGCCACCTTCGAAAAACTTCTCACTGCACTTAGAATAAAATAAATAATGTCCAAATCTCTCATCTTGGCCATAATTCTGAAGAGGAGCATGACATGATATGATTTTTTTTTTTAATGAAAGGATCGTCTGGCTGCTTTCATGTTTTTAGATGAAGTGCTGAATGCTTTAGTAGAGTTTTTTCATGCAATCCTCCAAGTGAAGGAAATCCTACTATCACCACTTTACAGACAAGAAAGCAGGTTTAGAGGTGATGACACCTGCCTGAGTTTGCCCAGCTCATACATGGCAGGGCTTGGAAGAAACCCAAGTTCTCTGTCACTCAAAACCCTCTCCTGCCTCCTAATATCACTGTATCACACTTTCTCATTTACTGGTCAAGTCTCTCTTGCCAGCCTGGTGTTTTTCTTTTCAAACTGCAGGTCATGACCTATTAGTGTATCCTGAAATCAATTTATATCAAGATTTCTCAACCTCGATTCTTAGAATTTTCCTGGGTGTTGGCAGGGGGTGGGGTGTGGGTGTGGGGAGGGGGTTGTCCAGTGCACTCTAGGGTGTTTAACAGGATCCCGGTCTTCTACCCACCAGATGCCAGCAGCACCCCAGTTGTAAGAACCCAAAATGTCACCACACACTGCCAAATGTCCCTTGGAGGACCAAATCATCCCCAGTTGAGAACTACTGATTTAGATGGTCAAAACTGACATTTAAAAACATGAGACAGAATAGATTTGAACCAAACAGAGTAGAAAATAATGTTTGGGGAGAAAGTGCATATTTTTGTTTACTGTCTATTGGAAAAGGGACTCAACCATTCAATGGACTGAACTTCATTGAACATCTACTGTGTGCCAGGAAGTCCCACGTGCCATGAACACAGCTGCAAACCAGGCAGAAAAGCCCTCAGGGATGTGACGCTGTGAGTGGGGCAGGCAGATGACAGACAAGTGAGCAATAAACCAGGCCACTTCTGCTGTGCTTTCAGGGACAGACGGTGCCCTAGAGAGTGACCAGGGCATGGACACATTAGGGGGCAGGTCACTAGGAAGGGACTCTCTGAGGAGGAGGGGCATCTTAGCTGATATTTGTAGGAAGAGAAGAAAACTGTCATGCAAACACCCGGGAGAGAAGTATCTGAAGCGGAGGGCCCTGAGGTGGGAAAGAAATGGCAGATATTTGGGAAATGAAGTCTTTGAAGCTGGAATTAGAAAGCAAGATCAGAAGGAGATGGGACGGAGAGGTAGCCAGTCCACACAGGACCTTTGTAAAAGAGAAACCGTGATACAAATATCCAGGGAAAGAGCCACTCAAGGGGAGGGAATGGCCAGTGCAAAGGCCCTGAGGCAGGACAAGCCATTGTGGACGAAGCTCAGTGGAGATGAGGTCACAGGGAGGGGAGGGGCAGGCCAGCCAGGGCTTCGTGGGCCTTGGTAAGGGTGTTGATTCTCATTCCACGTTCACTGGGCGTGCAAGGAGGGTTCTGGGTGCGGCATGTTCTGATCTGCCGTTTAATAAGATCCGTCCGCTGCTCGGTGTCGCGTGCGCTGTAGGGGACAGAGGCAAGGCAGGCGCTATTCTCCTCTATACGCTTCTCCTTACGTCTTCCTCTCCCCCAGGCTCTGTGCCTCCCTGGGTGCGGTCCCCACGGCCCCCCTGGGTCCATGACGGTGGCCCTGGGCTCCCCCGGCGCCCCCGCAGCCCCGCCCTGGGCCAACCAGAGCTCGGGCCGCGAGTTCTTCCTTCTGGGCTTCGCGCACGTGCCGGCGCTGCGGCCGCTGCTGGCTGCGCTCTTCCTGGCCATGTTCCTGCTCACGCTGCTGGGCAACGCGCTCATCGTGCTGCTGACCGCCCTGGACCCGGCCCTGCGCGCGCCCATGTACTTCTTCCTGCGCCATTTGGCCCTGGTGGAGATCTGCTTCTCGCTGGACATCGTGCCCCAGCTGCTGGTGACCCTGTTGCGGCCCGGGCGGGGAGTGTCACCTGCGGGCTGTGCCCTGCAGCTGCTCCTGGTGCTGTCCTGTGTCACTTCCGAGTGCTTCCTCCTGACCGCCATGGCCTGGGACCGCTACGTGGCCATCTGCAGGCCCCTGCGCTATGGCGCCATCGTGAGCCCACGAGTCTGCCACCTGCTGGCCGCCACGTGCTGGCTGGCTGGAGTCCCCGTGTCACTGGTCTTCACAGTCTGGCTGTTCCACTTCCCCTTCTGTGGACCACGTGGCATCCGCCACTTCTTCTGTGACATCGCCCCTCTGCTGAGCTTGGTGTGTGCGGACACCAGGGTCTTGGAGGCCAACGTGTTGGCGGCCACGGTGCTGATTATGATTGTTCCCTTCTGTCTGATAGCCGTGTCCTACACCAAGATTCTGGCCACTGTCCTCCAGATGCCATCAGCCACTGGGCGCCACAAGGCCCTGTCCACATGCGCCTCCCACCTCATTGTGGTGGTTCTGTTTTATGGCACAACAGGGGTCATCCACTTGCGACCCAAGGCCAGCTGCTCCCCAGAGAGCAAGCAGGTGGTGTCCCTCTCCTACACCCTGGTGACCCCCATGCTCAATCCCCTCGTCTACAGCCTTCGGAACAAGGAAGTGAAGGCTGCCCTGGGGCGCGCATGTGTTCAAAGAAGAGGAATTCGTATTCCATGACCTCTCTGTGATCGCAGAACCATTCATCCAACCGTTTCCTGGACTCTCCTACCTGGAGTGGCCTTTAGGTACCTCAATGTGCATTAACCTGAATTCTTTCTGATTCTCCTCATGTGATTCCCTCTTTTGGCAATGGCACCAACACTTCCCTAATGACTGTTTTGAATCCAGCCATCATTCAGGTGCATTCAGTTTGTTGAGTATGATAAGGCTCTGTTCCTGGTAGTGGAGCACGAGCTGTATCCATGTTTGAAAGCATGGTAAGGTGCCAGCCCTGTGACATAGTGGTTAACTTTGGTGTACTCTGCTTCAGAGGCCTGGATTTGCGGGTTCAAATCCTGGGTGTGGACCTACATCACTTGTCAGCCATGCTGTGGCAGTGACCTACATACAAAATAGAGGAAGGTTGGCACAGATGTCAGTTCAGGGCTAATATTCCTCAAGCAAAAAAAAGAGAAGATTGGCAATAGATGTTAACTCAGGGCAAATCTTCTTCAGCAAAAATAAACAAATAAATAAATAATAAAAAAATAAAACCATGGTAATAGCACAGTTCCTGTGGAAGTGATGTTGCCGGCTTTAGCAAATATAAATGCAAGACACTTAGTTAAACTTGAATTTCAGATAAACAATAAATAATTTTTGAGTATGTCTCATGCAATATTTTTTGCAATTATTTTTGAGTATAAGAGTGTCCTTCTTTCTCATGGCTGAATAATATTCCATCGTGTATATATACCATGTCTTCTTTATATACCACATCTTCTTTATCCATTCATCTGTTGATGCATGCTTAGGTTGTTTCCGTGTCTTGGCTATTGTGAATAATAAGACAATAAACACAGAAGTGCATATATTTCTTAAATATCCTGTTTTCATTTAATTTGGGTATATACCATGAAGTAGCATTGCTGGATCATATGGTAGTTCTATTTTTAATTTCTTGAGGAATCTCCATACTGTTTTCCAAAATGGCTGCACCAATTTACATTCCCGCCAACAGTGCACAGGGTTCCCTTTTCTCCACATCTTCTCCAGCAGTTATCTCTTGTCTGCTTGATGATAGCCATTCTCATAGGTGTGAGTTGATATCTCATTGTGGTTTGATTTTCATTTCCCTGATGATTAGTGATGTCGAGCACCTTTTCATGTACCTGTTGCCCATTTGTATGTCTTCTTTGGAAAAATGTCTACTCAATTACAATTTTAAGTCTGTCTGTGTGATGACTTGGTTAATGTCTGTCATTTCCCTACTAAACTGTAAGTTGACCATGTCTAATTCTACTCATTATTTACTCCTCACCACCTGGCACCATGTCTGACACATAGTAGTCACTCAATAAATGTTTGCTGAAAGGATGAATAAAGAATGAATGATATTCAGATATGCTTTTCAGGACTTCCCATCTTTGAGAGGCCTGGGGTCTCCCTCCAGAGTGTCAACAGGGCAGCAAGCGCTGATGTGATGCCCTAAGACAGCTGGGCTGGGAGACACCTGCAGTGATGTGTGCCCATCACCCACTTCCCCTTCTCCTGGCCAATAGCTCCTCTAGTTTTAGGAAGGAGCAGTTACTCTGCACTCTAGCTGTTTCAGTTGGCATTGGCCCTTCCATGGAGCCACTACTGTATTTTACCTCTGTGAGCAATTTTTGTTTCTGAGATTAGCAAGGACTCAAGTCAGTCCAGTCAAAATAAGTCTCAATAATTGTGCTGGTCCATCTGGGGCAAGACTTGTTCTCTTTCTGTCGTACTTGAGGCTGGGGGATATAGACCTGGACTTGCCGAGAAGCACCTAGAAGTGGTACATCAGGAATAAATGCGTATAATTGCAAGAAGATTCATAAAATGGAGAAAGACACGAAGTCCTGACATCGTTGTCGCAGTATCTGAATTTCTTTGTGCCATATTACCCTGGATTTTCAGTTCATGAGTCAATAAATTCCAATTTTTTATCTTAATCAATTTTGAGTTTGATTTTTTGTTTGCAATTGAAAGAGGCAAGATATTAAATCAGTTATCTGAGTCCTGAATTTGGTCCATGCCTGACTCATCCTCCTCCGTGCCCCTTTCAATAGCCCCAACTCATGGCCTTTTCTCAGCTGGACACAGCTACAGCTTGGAGTTGATGTTCATCCTTCAAATCCACTTAGCAAAACTGAAAGTCATGCTCACTCCATTCCACATTTCTCCCAGAATAACTTCCTTTATTCCTTCTTCCCTTTCTGCAAGTATTTATGTAGTAGTTCTACTGCTGCATGCCTTGGATGAAAGATGAATAGGACCGTATCCTGTCTTCAAGGACCTTATGGTGTGGTACTGATTTCCTTATCTGATGCATCTTTAATAAGTCTTCGTTAATAATATTCTCTTCTCTCATTCACTACTGATAGGAGGGTACACCAGAACAAGTTTCTAGGGAGCAACTTGGTAATATCTCTCAACATTGATATTTTATATTTCTTTTGATCCAAAAATGCCACATCTAGGAATTTACTTACAACTACACTTGCACCAATACATAGAGACATTTGTACATGAACGTTCACTTTAGAATTGTCTATAATGGTAAAAAACATGAATAAACTTAAATTTATACCATTGGGATTGGTAAAATAAATTATGGTGCCTAATATACAATGGAATACTATATAACTGTTAAAAATTATGAGAGAGACCTACATAGTGATATAGAAAGATGAACCATGATATAGGGTTAAACAAAGAAGTTGTAAGAGTATGCATAGCATGATCCCATTTGTAAAAAAAAAAAAAAAGCACACACATACATACACACGTGTGTGTGTGTGAAAGATATATAACAATTGTTTCTCACATTACCTATGAATAGCTGTCTTGAAATTGGAAAGGGAGTATTCACTTCCATAGGACTCAAACTTCTTATAAAAAGCAAATATTTGTTTCAAAATTTAAACAATTGTAAACTTCCTCCAAGTACGTTGACACCTCTTCAATCTTTCGATATTGGTATAAAATCCACACCAAGCCCTCAACTACTAAAGCATGAAGATATTAACTAAATTTAACACAAAAGATTATAGTTATGGGGGAAATATTTTCACACAACTAGTATCTGGTGTTATCAGGATTTTAACCTGAGCCTCCCTCCAAAGCCTTGTTTCTTATGCTTACCTAACCTGGTTGTGATTTACCTTATGAATACCCATTTTGTTGACCCAGCTTGCTGAACTGAGCTTCTTTACATAGAAACAGGTGCCATAATTCCCCTCACCAGGACACATCAGGTGTTGGAAGCCACTCCCATGTCCATGAGCTCCAACTAGGTCTGGGTCCTGCCCTAAAGACCCCTGATCTAAAGACATCTAACTATCCCCAGGCAGCATTGAACAAAAGGTGGTTGGGGCCACAAAAGAATTGAAACCAGAGTCTCAAAGAGATAATTGTACACCCATGTTCATAGCAGTTTTATTCACAATAGCTAAGAGGTGGAAGCAAGTGTCTATCGACAGATAAATGGATAAACAAAATGTGGAGTACACACACAATGGAATATTAGTCAGCCTTAAAAAGGAAAGGAATTCTGATGTATGACACAATGTTGGTGAACCTTGAGGACATTATGCTAAAAGAAATAAGCTAGACTGAAAATGGAAAATACCGTATGATTCCACTCATATGAGGTACCTAGTGTCATCAAATTCATAGAGACAGAAAGTAGAATGGTGGTTTCCAGGGGAGGAAAGAATGAGGAGTTAGTGTTTAGTTGGTACAGAGTTTCAGTTTTGCAAGGTGACAGGAGTCCCGGAGATGGATGGCAGTGATGGTACAACAATGTGAATATACTTAATGTCACTGAACTGTACACTTATAAACATGGCTAAAATGGTAAATTTTATGTTGTGTATGCTTACTAATTAAAAATACATTAAAAAACGAGGGTTGGGATCAGTGATAAAGGAAGCCGGTGATAGCTTTCCCAAATAATTCAACCTCAAAGGATGAATAATATTTCTACAGGAGAAAGGGAGACAGGGGATGGGACCCCAGGCAGAAGGATCAGGAAAAGCCAAGATGCAGAAGTATGAAAGGGAACTAAGTGTTCCAGGCATGGGGAGGAGTCAGAGACAGTGCATAATCATACCAAATGAGGCAAGAAAATTTTTTTGGTACAAATAATGTAGGGCCTGGAATATCATACTAAGAAAATTTTAGTTCATACAGAAGACAAAGTAGAGAGTGCTTTTAAAAAAATCTTGCATGAGACATAATATGTGTCTGCCATACGTATGGGGTCTTTCGTGACTTATGCTGAGTGGAGATAATCTTAGAAGGCTTCCTGAACCTTCAATTCAGTTACCACATTCTCTTGAAAGTCTTCTAGAAGTCCCCATACTACAGTCTCTTTCTCTCTGCTTCCCCAATTTCTAGCCCACATCTAGTTCCAAATCTGCCTTTACCACAGACTTTGGAGGAAGAAGGAATGTCTAATTTACTTTTGTGTTCCTAGCACACAGAACGCATTCTAGCAAACGGTAGAGTATCAATGAATGCTTATTGATATGACCTAAAGATGAATTCCAACTTGGGAGTGCCTTTGCCCTCTTCCCTCAAGCCCAATTTAGACTAAAAAAAAAAAAAAAATCTTTCCCATCTGTTCTTTATTTCCACAGAGATTAGAGGAGGGAGGTCTCAGAGATCCATAGCTTTGGTTTATGCTGGCTTCTTCTGCTTGCCTTCTTGCTGTGAGGACGGAGGGAACTTGGCAGTGCCCAGACAACACCAGTTCAGAAGATGCAGCGGGTAAAGGTGAATAAAGGTGTGAGAAGGGTCTGGTGAGAACTCCAGCTCAGTACCAAGGACAGCTCCTTCCAGGCTGCCATGAATTCAAGGAGCTATCCTTGTCTTCTGACCACTGAACCTCTGGCTCCATTCCTGAAAATTCTGTCCCCATCTGAGTGGATGCTCAGGCCATCTGGTCACTTACCAGAGACCCTAAGGAAGGAAGAAGACTAACAGTAAACATTCTGATATATCCATCTCACTTGAGCTATTCAGGTAGGGAGAATGGATAACTCACTTGGGGGCAAAGGGAAGGGAATATCAAGATGAGAAGAAAAGAAATGGTAAGTATAGCACATCTACTCGATGCCAAGTCCTTTTCTGAGTGCTTTCCTTGTATTATCTCCATTAATACTCTCAATAACCCTATGATGTAGTTGCAAATACAATTCCTATTTTACAGTTGGAGAACCAGAAGGTCAGCAAGAGTAAGTAAAAATACTCAATTTCATACAAGTAAGAGTAGAGCATTTGGAGTTAAAGTCCAGGTCCATGTGGTTCTACTGCCTGAATTCTTTCTACCGTACCAAGATGTCTCTCAGGGATGACTGAAAAGGAGTGGCTGGATTGGGAGCTGGATACCTGGGCTGAAGTTCCCAGTTACCTGATTGAACTTGGTCAAAGTGTGGTTACATCTTTATGTCTTTGCTAGTATGGTTCTTTCTTCTGGGTTGCCCATCACTCTTCCCATTTTCTAGCTTTCAGGATTCTACCAGTCCTTCAAGTCTCAGTTAAAATATCAGATCCTCAGCGAGGCTTTCCCAGTCCTTCCTTCTAGAAGTAAAACTCCTTCATCAAACCTCTACCCTGCCTTGCTGTTTTCATGGCTGCCTCCTCTGTTAGAATGGATTAAATTAATATGCCAGCACTGAAATCTCCAGTTTGGAGGTCAGGCCAAAGGATAGCTTCACTGTATAGATTCAAACATGTGCAACTTCTTTCACACAGAGAGGCAGCAAAGTCTAGAAGAATGATCACTGGCTTCAGAGTCAGATAGACACAGGTTTGACTGTTGGATTAGCCACTAACTATCTGTGTGACCTTAGTCAAATTTCTTCACCTCTCTAAGCTTTAGTTCCTCTTCTGCAAAATTCAGAGCACAATACTTCACTCACAGAGTAGTTACAACCTGGATAGTGAAACAATGTATATATGATAAATGGTACCTATATTTTGATGGCATACTACTTAATAATAATGGTGAGCATTTATTATTTACCACTTGTGAGAAACTTGGCACATGGCAAGCCTATACGTACTAAAACCATCCCCAAATTGCATAAAAGGAAACCGAAGTTCTGAGGACTTGTAACCGTCCAAAGCTTCACAGCTATAAAGTGGAAGATCTAATATTCAGAGCCAGGCCTATCTGACTCTTCTTTATAATGGAGGTATTACATAATTTGAGATGAAGATAATTACACCTCTCTTTTTTTTTCAGAAAAAGCTATTGAGGGTCAGAAACGTAAAGTAACTTGCCCAAGATTAGCCGATAGGAAAGAATCAGATAGAAAACTCCTCTGAGTGATCCGTATCTTGTTCATTGCCATATCCCCGTTGTGCGGAGCACAGTGGATAGTACGTTATTGATGCTTGATAAATGTTTGTGAGATGAAGCAAAGATCCTAGTCACTGTGCACTCTGATTTTGGGCCTAAGAATTCCAAAGTGACCTTTAAAGTTAAATTGGTTGGTTTTTATGTGAGTAAGCAAAAAAACACCTCTTGGTGTCTAAGGTCTGTGAGGTTTGACTCATGGGAGACTTCATAGCAGAGGTAAGTCTGGTGCAGGTGCAAAGAGAGGAATTATTAACAGAAGCAGGGTCAGAGAGAAAGTGGATCCTAGAAGAGAAAATTCCACGAGGGGAGGGAAACTCAAAAAGAAGAGGGGAGTTAAGAAATTGTTTAGAACTGAGGGCAGCTTCACCACGCGGTGCTAAAACTGCTTGCCTGGAGAGTCGTATTCAGAACCACGGACAGCTGCCCCGCGGCGGGGACGAATGCTCTCAGGGCAGCTGTGAGGTGCTTGTTTCAGAACTGGGGACAGCTCCAACCACTACTGGACTGAAGAGAGTAGACTTCGGTTGAGCATTAAGCATACTAATCTCATTGCCTTATTTAATCTTCTCTGAAATTAGATATGTAATCCAGGGAACTGAGACCCAGAGCAGTGAAGTACCCAGGTGGATATGGCTCCAGAAGGCAGACCTTCATCTCTAAACCAAACTAAATTGAGTACCAACTCCATAATCTACTGAGAGACCTTGAGCAATGCCTTCTACTTTCTAAGGCTCTGATTCTTCATTGGCAAAGTGGGGCTAAGAAAGATTACTCCACAGGGTCTTTGGCGTGATGAAGTAGAATCTTATTTACAGCTTCTTTGTCCAGGATCTTAAGCTTTTATAGCTTCAGGCATTTCGCATCTGGTATTTTGGGAAACTCATCCGTTTTAATTATGTAATCATAACACCAGCCACAACCCTTGCCTCTGTGTAGGTATTTTTGGTTTCCTCCTATAGAAAATGGAGATGTCAAACTGAGTGCCTTCAAATGGCTTTTCCAGCCCTAACATTTCCTTCCTAGAGTGGAAGAATAATTTTCTTTTCCTCTTTGGTCAACATGTTTCAAAAAAATAAAATGAAAATTTCACCCCAAACCCCAAGAGATAAAGGAGAAAATAATGAGTTATGCAGTCAGCCACACCTGGGAAGTTTGAATCTGTATTCTACTATAGATTGAGAGGCCTTGTGGAAACTATTTGACTCTTTGATCATTAGTTACTACATCTGTAAAATGGGAACATTGATTCTCACTTCTCAGTGTTGTGATGTGGATATAATATGAATAAAAATCACCTGATGCAATATTTGGCATTTGGGAAATGCTGATAAGTGAGAATTATTGTTATTGCCAGTCCAGTCTTCACTATGGCACTGAGGATCCCAGAATTTATTTATGAGCCAACCAGGATGGAGGGAAGTTGACTTGCTCAAAGCCCTCTTAGGGAGAAAGCGGCATGTCAAGGACTCAAAGATATGTCTGTTTTATTGCAAAGAAGATCCTTGTAAAAGGCATAAGACTAGGATTAGAGTCAGCCTCATCTGTCCTGTGCAGTTGCGATAGACATAGCTTCGTCTGTCCTCAGGAAGGTTTTGTGAAAGTGATGAGACTTAAGATAGGTCTTAAAGAGGCCGAGGGCATGTTTCATAAACAATGCAATCTCATGCAAGACATTGATGGGTAGCAAAATCAGACAGAACTGATTTGAAAAATCCCAGGGTTCTCACTTTGTAGTTGTAGCCTCTGGGAACCACAGTTTCTTGGTCTTTAACAATAAGTGAAATGAGAACTACTTTGCATGGTATTGAAAAATGAATGAAATCTTTTGTTAAAAGGACCCAGTCTGGATATAAGTATAAGTAATAAATGTTATCTTTGTCTTTATAACAAGAGATTTTTTTCTGGGTGAGGGGGGGAGATAGAGTTCTCTCCAAAAGGAATCAGGAATCAAAGTTCCACTTGTTTTTCTAGAAAATTACCATAGCTGACTCTCTTCTCTAATAAATGGTGGTAACTTTTATCAGTAAATGTGATCAAATCAATAGAAGAATCTCATAATAGAGAGATAAGGATTATTCTCTACTCCAAGATACCTAGAAGAACCGCTGAAGTCCATATAGAGTTGTTTTTTTGTAAAATGCAATCTAAAAAGAGACAGATCCAATGTTGTCAAAATTAATAACTCGTTTGTATACAACTTTCCTTTTCATTTTCTTACATAATCTCCACAACATCTCATGGGGGTCAATATCATTCTCCTCATTTCACAGAGAAAAAACCTAAGGGCTTGCATAAATCAAAAAATGTACTAAAGGTTGTAATAAGTAGATAAGGCAGTATTTCTGATCCCAAGGTGACTGTTCTTCCAACCACATATCACTGACTCTCTTCAAAATCAATGACCATCAGAGATTGAAGAGAAGGTCACCAAGGAAGAGTCCCAATGCTCCCAGACAACATCCCCTATCATTTGTTGCTTCACCTACTGAGAAATGTGATGCCTAGAAATTCATCTTTGATCCACTATTCCTTGAATAAACACATATTGAGCATCTATAATGTAGCAGGCAATGTACTCCTTTGCTAGGCATTGGGGATAGATTTCAGAGTGAGACAGATCTCATCCCTTCCCTCAGGAGGCTTACAATCCAGTTGGAGAGACATTGAATAACCGAACAAACACACAGGAAATTTAAAATGATTATAATCACCCTGAAAGGAAGTAGTTGGATACAGGAATAGAAAATAATGGCATAGGGTTTGACAGAGGATTTTCAAGGAAGGCTGATACGAGGACAATACATTGAAAACTTATTGAAGACAATGATAAGCAACATGATGTTTATTCTAAGAACAATGGGGAATCTGTCAAGAGTTTTAAGCAGAGGAGTGACCCTATATGATATACGATTTTGAAGGACCCCACTAGCTGGTACCTGAAGAAGGATGGACCATAGAGGACAAGGATAGAAGCAGAGAAACCAGAAAAGAAATTATTTCATTTACTCAGGTGAGATAATGGCTTGGATCTAGGGCAAGGCAAGATGTAGAGAGAGATTTGCAAAATATTTTGTAGATGTATTTTGTTCTTAGATGGAGAGATCTCTGGAGCTGGGCAATATGACCAGGGTCCAGCACTTTGTCCTGCTGGGTTTGTCCACAAGCTTGGGCATAAGAGATGTTTTGTTTGCTGTCTTCCTCACTCTCTACCTGCTGACCCTGTTGGAGAACACACTCATCATCTACCTCATCTGCAGCCACAGGGAGCTCCACAAGCCCATGTACTTCTTCCTGGGCAACCTGAGCTGCCTGGAGATGTGCTACGTGTCAGTGACCATGCCCAGCCTGCTGGTGGGGCTGTGGACTGGACCCTGCCATGTGCCCTTCACAACCTGCATGACCCAACTCTTCTTCTTCATCTCTCTCATCTGTACGGAGTGCACCCTCCTGGCCTCCATGGCCTATGACCGCTATGTGGCCATCTGTCACCCACTCCACTACCCGTTGCTCATGAGGCCCCAGGTTTTCCTGGGCTTGGCCATGACTTCATGGTTTGGTGGGCTGCTGGTCTCAGTGATCAAAACAGCATGTATTGCCAGCCTGTCCTACTGTGGCCCCAATGTCCTCAATCACTTCTTCTGTGATGTCTCCCCTCTGCTTAACTTGTCCTGCACGCACGTGGCCCTGACAGAGCTGGTGGACTTCATTTCTGCCATTGTCATCCTCTGGGGTTCCCTCATCATAGCCATAGCCTCCTATGTGGCCATTGTTAGGGCTGTGCTCCACATGCCATCAGCTGCTGCCCGTTGCAAAGCCTTCTCTACCTGTGCCTCCCACCTCATAGTGGTGGGCATCTTCTACTCAGCCACTATCTTCATCTATGCTCGTCCCAACCGCATAGAGGCCATGGATCTCAACAAGGTATTGTCTGTCATCTACACGGTGGTCACACCTATGTGCAATCCTGTCATCTACTGCCTGCGGAACAAGGAGGTCCAGGCAGTTTTCCATAGAACCATACACTCATCCTGAAGCTGACCAGCTGACCAGGGCATGGGGGAGATCTCAAGCTATCAATACTTTACATTTTTATTGAGATACAATTCACATATCATACATTTCACCCTTTAAAAATGTACAATTCAGTGGTTTTTAGTATATTCACAAAGTTGTGCAACCATCACCAATATCTAATTCCAGAATGTTTTCATCACCACCAAAAGAAACCTGTACACATTAGAAGTCACTCCCAATCCTCCACCCCTCACCCTAAGAAACCATTAATTTTCTTTCTGTCTCCACAGATTTTTTCTGTTTTGGACATTTCACACAAATGGAATCATATAATATGTGGCATTTTGTGTGGCTTCTTTCACTTCATATAATATTTTTGAGGTTCATATGTGTTGAAAATTGTATCAGTACTTCACTCTTTTTTATGGCTGAATAATAATCCATTGTATGGATATACCAGGTATTGGTTACCTATTCATCAATTTATGGATATCTGAGTTGTTTCAACTTTTTAGCTGTTAAGAATAATGCTGCTGCAAACATTTATGTACAACTTTTTGTGTGGATGTATATTTTCATTTGTCTTGGGTGTTTGCCTAGGAGTGGGATTGCTAGGTCATATGGTAACTCTGTATTTGACTTTTTAAAGAACTGTCAGATTATTTCTTAAAGCATTCAATGCCCTGCTTTTAAAATACATGTATGTCAAGGTAAGGAGAGCAGTTATGGATAGCAATTTATAGATGAGATAATGCAAGTGACCAACATATCTAAGAAATATCCTTGATACTCAAGGAAAAATGTTAATTACAATAAGTTATACCATCACTGTATCAGACTGGGAAAAATTCAAATGGTTGTTGACACCTAGAGCTGAGTTGTCTTTGGGAAAGTGGGCACTCTCGCTCAAATACTGTGGGTGGTGGCATAAATTTTTAGGACCTTCTTGCAGAGAAACCTGGTATCATCCATCATCTATTGCCTACACTTTGACCCAGCATCTCCGCTTTTGCAATATTTCATAGAAAAATTAAAGCACTGATTTATAAAAATACATGTTCAAGGATATTTATTGCAGCATTGTTTTAATTGGCCTAAACTGGAAGAGTGAATATTCATCAATAAGATAACAACTGAATAAGTTATGGTACCTTCACATTGTGAAATCTTATGAAGCAATTTAAAAAAAAGAATTGATTCTATTTCTCTATATTGACACAGAAGCCTGATATATTTGTAAGTGAAAAGGAAAAATTTTAAATAAATGTTTAAATATTAAAAATTTAAAGACAAAAATTCAAGACATGTCTACATATGCTTGCATAGATATTTTTTGAGGATGCACACCCAAAAATTCAAGGAGTGTGAAAACATTTTTTTTTTGCAAATTTCAGTAATAATAAAAGTTATTAACTGAAATTGGTACAATGTTTCTGGAGGGCAATTTGGCAAAATGCATAAAAACCTGAATGTGCATGGCCTTTGACAGCATACCATTTTAAAACATTTTTGCAAGAAAATAACTTAGGATGCTTGCAGCAATGTAATTGTGAGAATGTTCATAGCGATTTTGTGCTTTTAATGGAGAACTATTGGGAGAAACCTCTATTCAACAATCTAAGGAGGAGTAGTCAAAATAAACTGCAGCATAGCCACCCAAGGGAATGGTGTCATGAAAAATAACATTCACCAGTTTATTTACTGCCATGAATGTTGTCAATTATATATTGTGATGTGGAAAATTCATGTTATAAAATGACGTGTACAGTGTAATTACATTTTAATTTTTAAGTGCATGTGTGTATATATGCATATAGGAAAGAATTTGGCAATAAATACTATAACATGTTAATGGTGATTGCCATTGTGTGGAAGACCCTGGGAGGCTTTGCTTTTATTTTCACTTTGTTGTATTTTGTTTGTGGTAAGCATGTATTGCTTCTGGAATAAAACTGTGTTTTTCAATATTAAAAAATCACCTTAGTCTCTGTCTTTTGTCAATAAGATAGAGCTGAACTTACTTGACTAGGAATTCAAGATCCCAAACAGTGCTTTAGTTTCGGCCACACTAGACCCAACATTACCTAGACATATACGTCTGGATACCTTTGCACATGCTGTTCCATCTGCCAGGAATGCCATGATCTTCCTTGTCCTCCCTTTGAATGCAGATACCCTCAAGGCCCAGCTTCCGGTTTCCTTCTTCACAGAGTTTTACATTATTGCCCCGGTTCCTATGCACAAGGCAGTGCTTCTTCTATTCTTCTGTGGCTCTCATTCACACAGGGTGAAAATACAGATCAGAGCAGGAGGGGTGCAGAGCACAGACTTCATCAGTCTTGCTGAAAATCGGTGAAGAACATTAAGGACTAACTCAACGTCTGTAGCATGAAGGTAAAATGGTAATTTCTGTGTCAAGTGTACATGAATTTAAAATTAATCAATATTGGCAAATTATTTTCCAAAAATGCTGCCTCAGTCTGCATTCCAGAGCAGTTTTAGAGAATATCTTTCCCCCACATCCAACCAAACCTGAGTTTTCTCAAATGATTTCCTTTTTTTTTTTCCAATTTACCACGTGTAAGTGCATCTTATTACTTTGATTTTCACTTCTTTAGTAGCGGTGGAGATTGAAAACCATTCCATAGATTTTTATGGGACATTTGTATTACCCCTTTTTGGATGAACTGTTGGGCTATGTGTGCTTGTGGAAATAGTTGAGAATGGGTATCTTTGCAGCTTAACTTTTCCCCATCTTTCATTTTTTTCTTCAGGATAAATTCCCCAAGTAGAATTGATGAGTGCAAGGCTTTCAGATTCTCAAGTCTTTTTGTATTTATTAACAAAGTGTCATTCTAAAATGTACCAATCTGTACCCTCATAAGTGACACCAGAACGTGCTTGTTTCCCTTGAGACATTGTCAACATGAATTTTAATTTTTTTAAGTAAAATTTAAAAATATGCTAGTCTGATGAGCAAGTCATTCTATAGAAAGTCATTCTTTGAATTTCTATTTTCTCTTATGTTTATTTATTCAGTTATAATTGGTGAAAAGTAATACAAGCTTATTGCAAAATATTCAAATATGTAAAATAGAAAATATTGGTCCTCTGTGGTCTCATGCCTGAAAACACAGCTGATAACTGTTTGACATATATCCTTTCTAGGTATATATTAACATAAATAACTATTGCTATTAGTATATTTATCATCATTGTTTTACAAAACATTGACATACTCATATACTGCTTTCATTTTTAACTCAACAACATACATCTCCCCACAGCAGTATCTACAGGTCTATTTTAATCTCCTTAATGGATACAAGTTATTTCATAGTATAGGTATAACGTAATATATTTAAATAATATCCTGTTGATCTGCATTTGAGTTGTTCCCCAAAAAATGGCATTTATTCCAAATTTCACAATTTTTCAGTAAACATTCTTGTATATATATATATATTGTATTAGATATATAATATTTTTCAGTTGTCAAGGAGTAAATTTCTGTCTTCTGATTAAATTTGCATTTCTTGGGTAACTCGAGAGATGCGCATCTTTTTGCAGGTTATCAGCCACTTACATATTTCCTTCAATAACCTTCCTGTTCATGACCATTTCCCTTATGTTTTTCTCTTGGAGTAGTGATATTTTTCTCATTTATTTTAAAAAAAGTTTTAAACATTATGTTGCAAATATTTCCCTCCAGGTTTCTATTTGCCTTTGAAATTTGTGTATGTGTTTGTGGCCATGAAAGTTTTAAAATCAGGAACAGAAAACTGCATTGCTGAAGAGACTCAGCGCAGATGGAGGGTTTTCCACAAGGCTGCGTGCACCTCCTTGTTCCGCAGGCAGTAGATGATCGGGCTGCATGTGGGCGTGGCCACCGTGTAGATGACTGACAGCATCTTGTTGAGGTCTGTGGATTCAATGCGGCTGGGTCGGGAATATATGAAGAGGACCACTGAGTAGAAGATGCCCATCACAATCAGATGGGAGGCGCATGTGGAGAGGGCTTTACAGCGAGCAGTAGCTGAAAGCATGCGAAACACAGCCCTCCCAATGGCCACATAGGAGGCCAGAGCAATTAGTAATGACCCACAGAAGATGAAGATAGCAGAGATGAAATCCACCAGCTCTGTCAGGGCCACATGGGTGCAGGACAGGTTGAGCAGAGGGGAGACATCACAGAAGAAGTGATTGAGGACATTGGGGCCACAGTAGGACAGGCTGGCAATGCATGATGTCTTAACCACTGAGACTAGCGGCCCACCAAGCCATGAGGACATGGCCAAGCCCAGGCAGACCTGGGGTCTCATGAGCAGTGGGTAGTGCAGTGGAAGGCAGATGGCCACATAGCGGTCATAGGCCATGGAGGACAGGAGAGTGCACTTGGTACCAATGAGAGACACAAATAAAAAAACCTGAATTATGCAGGCTGTGAAGGACACATGGTGCAGACTCGATCTCAGTCCCACTAGCAGGCTGGGCATGGTCACTGACACATAGCACATCTCTAGGCAGCTCAGGTTGCCCAGGAAGAAGTACATGGGTTTTTGAAGCTCCCGGTGACTGCAGATGAGGTAGATGATGAGCGTGTTCTCCAGGAGGATCAGTAGGTAGAGGGTCATAAAGACGGCAAATAGGCCAATCCTTACATCTTGGCTGGAAGACAAACCTAGTAGGATAAACTCCTGGACTCTGGACACATTGGCCAATTCCAGAGACCTTTCCATCTAAGTGAAGAAAGAAATAGGTTTGTAGAGACCGTGGTCCATGCAGAAGTAAAAGGATAAAAGAGGAAGAGTGTATAAGGTTATGGGCTCTAGGGCCAATGTAACTTTGTCATGATGGCTGTTGTCAGGAAGACCAGTGAGGAGCAACCGAGAAATTGCAAAACTGGAAACAAAAAACTTACTAAATCTGTGATCATCAGCAAGACAATATTTATGAATCTCAGTTATCTTATCTCTGTAAAATGGAGGTGAAATCTATCCCCATGAGGTCCTTAGTCCTTATGGATATTAAACATGGGGATAGATGAGAAGGTGCTTTATAAAGTGAGGCATGACTGTTATTTCTTTACTTTTGATGACATTAAGTGGTGTTTTCTAAGTTGGAGGGTTTTTTTCCTTTAAAAAGTTCCTAGGACATCAGGGTTTGTCTACACTATTTTAAATAGAGGAAGACTTGCAATTCCCTTATTCTGAGACATATACCTCTCTTAACTGAATTGAATTTCTGGAGGAAGCTTTCCACTGTTTATTAGAGAAAAGTACCAGTAGCAATGATTTTTCTGAAAAGACCAATGAGAAATCTCCTCCCTGAATGTTTCTCAAGATGACTCCTTCCAGAAAGATAATATGTCTTTTTCTTTTTTCTGAGGAAGATTAGCCCTGAGCTAACATCTGTGCTAGTCCTCCTCCGCTTTTATATGTGGGTCGCGACCACAGCATGGCTGAAGAGTGGTGTAGGTCGGTACCCAGGATCCAAACCTGTGAACATGGGCTGCCAAAGCAGAATGTGCCAAACCCAACCACTATGCCAAAATGCCTGCCCTTAACATATCTTTTTTATAAGGAAATAAACTACATACGTTGAGTATCACTCACTTGCTCCTGCACTGTGCTGCATTTTTTAAACACATGGAGATAATGAATTTTCATGACCCTATGAAAATAAAAGCATTATTTTACTCATTCATTCACGTGACTGTACTGAAGCTCATAGGCAGTAAGTAACTTATGAATGGGATGAAGTTATAGAAATAGAGGTCCTTTGCCTATCGTTAGTGTTGAGGATTCGACTTGAGTTTTAGGCAAGTGAGAGGTGGAGATTATGCTATTTGGACTCACTTCTGACTTATCATATGTATTCAATAGCAAGTATTTATTGAGTATGTACTCAATAGCAAATATTTATTATGTACTATGTAATAGGTGTTTGAAATCAAATAGTGAGCAAAACCAATGTCTGTGAGTTTTGAAATTCATAACGTAGGTAGTGAGGTATAGAGAAGGCAAACATAAAGACAAATATAGAATTTCAGTGGATAAGTGCTAAGGAGAAAGCAAAACAGGATGGTTGGCCATTTCTGGAGGGGAAAAAAATTCATTTTCTTCCATCCATGTGTTGAGCAAAATCCACTTCCCTGTAGCTCCACGTCCATGCCAATGCCTTCTAAGTCTCTCGTTGTGTTCTAGTCTCTATGTTAAACGCTCCCAATGAAAATTAAGTTTCAGGCATAAACAATCAGAATAATAGAATGGAATAAAGCCCAGGAACACATCAAACATATACACAAACTTGATTTATGATGTAATTTGTATTGAAGATGAGTGGGGAAAGGGATGGACTTTGCAACAAATGGTTCTTGAATAATTAATTACCCATACAGAAAAATAAAAAGAGATTGAAACCCTACATCACACCACATGCACAAAAGATCAACTTCAGGTGAATTAAAAACATGAATGTGGAGTGAAAATTCTGGAATTTTAGAAAAAATATGGAAGTATATCTTTATGACCTCGTGGATATAGAAAACAATAACAATAAAGAAAAAGAATTTAAAACTTAACCACTTTAAAATTTTAAAACTCTAATCAGCCAAAGAAATTCTGATCACCATAAAAAATTAAAAGAAAAGTCACAAACTGGAAAAAATGTACTGGCAATAAATATGAGGAAAGATCCCTATGGAGGATATACAAAGAAATTGGTAAAGTGACACACAAAATAGTTTTTTTCTCAGTAGAAATATGGGCAAAAGTTCTGACTGTACACCTCACCAAAGAATAATTAATTGCTCAAAACCTGGGAGTAGGCTCATCTCATTAGGAGACAAGGAAATGGAAATTAAAACCAAAGTTAGATGCCACTTAATATCCTGGAAATGGCACAAATATAAATGTCTGAAAATGTTATGTTTAACAATGAGAATTTTCATTTATGGCTTCTGGAGGTCTGAATTGGTATGATCATTTAAGAAAACAATTTGGCACTATCTAGTAAATTTTAAGATGTGAGTATACCCCAGAAATTCTATGTCCAAGCATATAGCCAGAGTAATGTTCACAGCAGCACTGTTTTACTAGCAAAAAAGAAAAAAATACTGCAAATATCCCAAACATCCAATAGTAGAATTGATAAGTAAATTGTGATCTTCTTATATACTGGAACATTATTCTGTAAATAAATGAATGAACCAGAATCACATCTAACGTGATCAATGAAGCAATCTCAGAAACATAATACTGAGCAAAAGAAAGTTACATAAATATGGAAGCAGTATAATTCCACTTATATAAAAGTCAAACTGCTCAAAAATTTTAAGAAACATATAAAGTGTAAAATAAAGTAGGAGAATGATGGACCCCAATTTCAAGATAGTGGTTACTTCTTAGGGAGGAGGGATGGGGTGGGAAGGGCACGAAAGAGGTTTCAAAGATAAACAATCACACTCTTCTTAAAATGGTTAACGAGTACAAGGGACTCACTGCATTGTTACATTGATAACCTACTCCTGTACTGCATATTTTCTGTTTCATCTACTCACTATTTACACAAAAGCCACTTATAAAAATAGTTCCTACGTGTGTTAAAATTCATAGAACTTTACACCAAAAAAGTCAATTTTGAACATAAAGTTTAAAAGTTACTTTTTGCACTTCAGCGTTGTTTTCCCCCCCTCAGAAGTAACAACTGTTATCAGTTTCTTGTGGGTCCTTCCAGAAATATTGCCAGAACATTCGTGCACTTGTATGTATATGTATATGTACCCTCCCTCCTTTAAAACATGGCACAAATCTCACATCGAGTATGAGTACCAAGATCCCTATTAATCCAATACTATGTTATTTCTCTCATGCTTTAATGCCTTCTCCATAATTTGTTTTGGTAAAATTTCCCCTTGAAAATGCTTAATTCTCAACATGTCCAAATTAAGGAAAAATGGTTGTTCCTTCCAAGTCTATTGGTTTAGGCAAAGATAGATGAGATCATTAAGACAGTCCCTTTCAAGTAACAGATGAAAACATGTTGAATAAATGAGTGCAATAAATTATTCTCTGTTATTGTTAATGTTAACTAAAATTATAGAGATGCAGTTTAGCCCCCAAAAGTAGATATATTCTTGGCGGGAACTTTCACATTGACATTTTGGCACAATATCTCATTTTTCACATGAGCACAGTGAGACTCAAAGTTGGTGCTTAAAGTTCTTTTCAGATCAACTTCTGTCTGTTCAGGGTAGACGTTCTTAGTATGGAACAAGGTCACCTGGCTGGTTGGACTGTCCTTACAAGGCTGGTGAGGGCACTGTCATTTGTCCTTATAATGACTTCCTGCCACAGCCTCCCGCCACATACCTTCCCTCTGCTGGACTCCCGTTCTTCTCTGGCCTGCGTTATCCCTCGTCCTGCTCCTGCTCTTCTTTCCCCTCTATCTACCCATGTTCTTAACTTCTTCATGAAGACTCTTTTGAGTTATCTTTCCTTTTTGATAACTTCAGAAGCTCTACAATGTCCCTGATTAGTCTACTGAAGAAATGATAAGTGTATCTTAAAAGGTACTGGATTCTGTGAGAATGCTTCAAAGATTTTGAGCCCATTCCACAAACATTTGTCCACAAACACCTGAATTGCACCTATGATGTGGTTATGGATGACTTAGTTTTTGCCCCCATAGAAAAGTTTATGACTAGCAGCTTGCTAGCTGTGTGACCATGAGTAAGATCCTTAATGTCTCTAAGCCTGAGTTACCTGTTACTTACGTTGCTACTAATATTCCCATTGGGAATAAAAAGATATACCACACAATAGTAGCTTTAATTTGTTGCCTGTGTTCTACGTACTGGCCGATTTAGACGCAGTATAACATAGTTCAGTGGCCCTCAAGCATTTTTACCATGGCCCACAATAAGAAATACATTTAACATTGTGACCCAGTCACAATGACACACACACACACACACAGACACACACACACACAACCACATACACAAACGAAACAAAAATTTAACAAAAAACGCTTACCTTTACTCTACGTGAGTCCCTTTGATATTCTTTCTCATGTTCTATGCCATATGATTTTTGGTGCTTGTATTGACCTCATACATTCATTTTATGAACATCAGTTTAAACTACACTGTCATTCAAGTTAAGAGAAGGGCTTTGGAATCAAATAGAAACAGGTTCTGGTCTGGGCTCTCTCTAACTTAGACAAGGACTCTGTATTTCTGAGCCTCAGATCTTCATCTCCAGTGTGGAGATAATAACCCTGACTTCTTCAGGCTGTCATGGAGATTAAGTCCAAAATAGTCTCTGTGGTACCCAGGTAGTGTTTAGCACCCCATAGGTGTCTTCTAGAAGGGAGAACTTTTCTGGTCTTCTCTTTTTTATTTCTCAAATCAAATGCTCTTGTTCTCTTACCTGTCAGCTAAAGTGAGACAGGTCTTGCTTTTCCTTCTGAAAGGAGACTCTGGAGGCCAAAAATATTCAGCTTCTGCCCCTGGATATCATTGAAGATGCTGGTGACTTGAAGAGTTGGCCAGTGAATTCAAGGACCTCAGAAATGTTTGGAAGAAATTGTCTTTGGTCCTGAGCAATGAGCTCTCACCTGTCTCTCCTCATTTCTCCACCTTCGTGTTCTCTGAGCTTCCAAGAGAATTCTGTTCTTACAGTCAGTTGCAAGCAGAAGGGCCAGTTTAAATGAAAGAGATGGACCTTAGAGGGCT